GTAGCTGGGTGCTAGTGAGAGCTGCAGACTGAGCTCTGGGTGGCAGAGAGAGGCTGAGACCTGGCACGGACCCCTTGCACAGCAAAGGGCCCAGGGACCTGTGGCACCAGCCAGGTGACTCAGAGCCACGGCAGGAGCCAGTGACTCAGCAGGAAGAGCCCAGACCTTCCTCTGTATCATAAGGATACAGAAGCCCAGGGTTTCCTTCGTTCCAAAAGCAGCAGCTTGAGCTGTTATTTTGTTGCTGTACTATGATAAAGCTATTTAAAGAATTCTGAGGTCTGAGACTCTACTATGAGAAACCCTGGGCTGAGCTGGTAAGGAAACCTTGTTTGCCTGTGAGAGCGGTGTGTGTGTGTAGGGAGTCAAGCTGTGCACACATCAGCCTGGAGCCACCCACTGTGGAGGGGCTTTGCTTCCAGCCCTGAAATCTCTGGTACCAAGAGTGTGACTGCCCAAGAATGGTCAGACAGAAAAGTTTCTTTAACATCTGTTCCATGATCTTGCTGGGCACAGAGGTGAGACTGACCACCCAGTAGTTTCCCCAGTCTTCCTTTATTCTGTTTTTAAAAATTAAGGTTCCCATCACTGGAACTTGACTGGACTGCCACAACTTCTCAAATACAATGGATAGTGGCACTGCCACTTCATCAGTCCCTTGGGACCTGTGGATACACCTCATAAGGTCCCATAGACTTGTGCACCTTCAGGTTCCTTAGATGTACTTGATCCTGATCTCCTACAACTGGCTCTTCATTCTCCCAGCCCCTGCCTTTGCCTTCTGTGGCTGGACAACTTGCCAGTGAAAATTGAGGCAAAAAATTTGTTGAGTACCTCAGCTTTCTCCATGTCCTGGGTAACCACATCTCCCATATCTTCCAGAGAAGACTCACATTCACCCTAGTCTTCCTTTTATCACTGGTGCACCTATTGAAGATTTTCCTGTTCCTGCTGACATCTCTGGCCAGCTTTAATTCTATCAGAGATTTAGCTTTCCTAACCTGATTCCTGCTTCTTACTTTCTCAGCATTTCTCCCAGGCAACCTGTTCTTGCTTCTACTCTCTGTAAGGCTTCCTTTTTGTGTTTGAGTTTGGCCAGGAGCTCTTCATTTATCCATGTAGGCCTTATGGCATCTTTTGCCTGAGTTTTTTATTGTTAGGATGCATCACTCCTGAATTTAGATGCAGATGAGATGCAACTCTGAAAGCCCTCTAATTTCCCGCCTGGAAGAATACAGTGCTAGGGTACCTTAACAGGTTTTGAATAGGACCATGCTGGAAATGGGAGGGAGGGAGGGAATCAGTGCTACTGGGACTCCCATTGGGCACATATGTATTTCAGTAACTGAGCGTCCGTGCAGGATGAGCAGAAAACTTAGTGAAGAAATAATTTCAACAGGTATCAACTGCTGAGAGGATTTTCAATGAAGCACAAAGATTTATTCTAACATGCTTTGCTAGGAGGAGAAATACTGTCCTGGCAGTATATTCAAGTAGCACTTCTGTCCTATATGAAACTCAGAGAGGAACTTAGAAGGGGGCCTAACATCATTGCAAATGCAGGTTATCATTTAATCCAAATCCAAAAATGCTTCTCAAGCTCAGCCCTGTGAGCAGATTGCTGTCTGTGGATACTTTGCAGAGAAACACACACAGCACTGTTGTACCACTTTGAGGAGTGTCCTCTCTGCTAGCCCAAAGCAGAACTCACATTAAAAAATCTCAGAAAAACTTCTTCCTTCTCTGTGTAGTTATGTAAGGCTTTTTATAAAAAAATGATCTTTCAACTCAGACTTACAGTGATAACAGTATAATAATGGTGTTTCCAACAGTGTGCAGCTCTCCCCAAGAGATGTTGGAAGATATTTTGTCAAATTAGTTCCTCAACATCACTAAGTCTGGGAAAAAAGCACAGATCAGTAGTTGGGCCTGTGCCCTTCTACCCTAGCAGAGGCTGGAATAGTGTTTCTACCAATAATAGCCTCAGTCAGGCAATCAAGCAGCTCTTGCTCCAAAGAAAAGTCTTCCTAAAACTCAAGACAAGACTTCAATTACACAATCACATACTATTCTGGCTTTAAGAGACTGGATGGTGTGTCTTGAATGAAGAAGAATAAAATGGGTTTAAGTCACTTTCTACTCCTGAAACAGGAGTAGAAAAGAATGCTATTGAGTTTTTAAAATGAGGTTAACTTTCTCTGCAGACAACAGGACACAAAGCCACTTAAAATATCTGGTAACTATTATATAATGCTTTTTTAAAACTTTCCCTGTTCGATCCAGCTTCAACTGGCGTATGTACTAAAGTCAGTGGAAGTCTTTTTGCTGACATCAATGGGTTCTGAATTAGGACCTCATTCCTTGCAACCCAGCTTGTGTGCTACATTAATTCAGAAATGGGTTTTAATAGATTCTTTCACCTAACAGTCTCCTGAGCTGTGCACTGAGAGACAGAGGGCTTTTTCCCCCTCTTTCTGGAGGACAGCAAGGCACAGCATAGCAATAGCTACAGTGTGATCTGAATTTTGTGAGTGCAATTTCCAAAAGGCAGAAACAGCTTTTCACAGGAAAAATGTTCTATAAGTGTTAAACAAAACAAAACAAAACAAAACAAAACAGTTACAGAAAGCCATTCCAGTAACAACCTGGACCAGGAACATATAACTCATAATAAGAATATGAGTGGACACAGTTTGGAGAAACTGGGAAAGGTGACAGAACCACTTCTGGAGAACAACTGACATACCAAGAGCTTTACAAGTTGTACTGTGGTATAGAAATAATATATTAAGTATATATAGTACTTAGTACTATATCAAGCACTTCCAGTGGACACACACTCCAGCTTGGTGTAATGATGTGATAAGGGACAGGAATACTGCTGTCATCCCGTCACTCACTGTTCCCCCACCCTGGAATCATACAATTAACACAGCTTTGCTGCACAGGGGAATGTTCTTATAAACTGTTGTTCTGTTCATAACTTCAGCTCCATTTAAGATGATGAAAGTAAACAGTTTTGGTTCCCCTAGCTTTTTAAAAGAAAGAGTCTGCTTAAGCATTCTGTTTTTATTCACCTGGGAGATGCCTGTTTTCACATTATCCTTGGTGGACCAATAGCACATGAAGATTATTGGCTTTCAGACAAGAGGTTTTACAGTCCATCAGGTCCATTCACAGATTTGTTTATTAAAATGGTACTTGTGTATAGTTTTACTGATATGAGTTTGGATTAGTGCCACTGTTTTCTTCCCCGCAAGGACAAAGAGCTCTTGCTCCCTCACACAGCCATTCCCAGCTGAGCTCTGGAACACAGGGCAACCACAAGCTCTTGTTGCTGGTGGTCACACCAGCGGCCACCCAACCCTAAAAGCCACAGCTTTGAATGCAGCCTGTTTTGTGTCTCTGAGCTGACCACCCTACCACCAGCGGTGGGCACTGGCTCATGTGGTTACACTGTAACAGACCCAGCAAAGCAAGGAATAAATTCTTCTGACACAAGTTCTCAGACCCAGCCATTTCCCCAAGGATATATTGGAGACAGAAACAATTCACACCACATGAAATACATCATCCTCAATGTCACATACAAGTCTATGCAGGAATCTATCTGGACAGCAGTGATCAACTGATCCAAATTTATAGCTAATGTGTCTTAATTGTCCCATACCAATCAAATCCCAACTTCCCTAAGCAGGCTCACAACAGTGCAGGTTGCAGGTGGATGACCTGAACTTTGCAGTCCATCAAACTCTCAAGAAACATTCCAGATGCAGTGGAACAGAGAACCTGGCCAACACTGAAGAAAAGGATGTAGGAATAATGGATGAGTGGATAAAGGGAAAAAGGAGAGTTTTTAACATCTGGGGAAGACATTCATACTTCAGCATGACATGACACAAGATGAGGTGAGCTGCTATTAACAGCTCATTGAAAAACAAAGGAACCCTAAAACTCTGCATCACAATCCACAAGACACCCAGCCTGAAGAAACAATTCAGTTGAGACTTCAGCTCTTTAAGATAAAATGCAGCTTATTCAACTAATCAAAGTTTTCCCTGTGAGCACAGTGAGCAAGGCTTAATTAGGAATATAATGTAATGTGTGAAGGACATTTTGTTAAAAATACACTGCATGTACTGAGGAACTCTGCTTTTTTCATACAGTGTGACATACAACAGGCACTGAACCAAAACACCACAGAAGTATGTGGTTTATGCTCTCCCACTAGACTACCAAACAACATTTAACATAAAGTATTGCAGATATATAGTAGAGGATGTCTAAATGTTCCTTTACAGTATTGCCACAATAACTGCTTTTCTTTCATGTTACCACAGCCATTACTAGAGAGCTAACACCAAAAGTCATCATAAAAAATATCTAAACCTCATTTGGAAAAGATATATAACCTCTTTTGTTACTCCTTCTCTGTGTTCTAATTTAGACTTAATATTAAATCCAGCTTTGTTTCTTCTTAGCAGCAAAAATTAGAAGCAACTCTATTCAAGTCAATACAATTATTTCAACATGAAGAAGGAATCACCCATCTGCAAAAAACAGTCTAACAGGTAATTTTCCACTGACAGCTCTTACCATAAAACAGGTGACAGAAACGACACTGTTTCATCTAACACTGTGTTTCATCTAACACTGAAAGTAAACAATTAATGCAAAATGGACAATGCTTTTAAAGACCATAGGTCTTCCATCTATGCCCTTTATACATAATTATTTTCATCTCAGTAAGCAGACACTTAGGAAGGACCACCATCAAATTGTAGATGGAGCCTATTAATCACACAAAACAGGCAGCTGAATATCTCTATTTATTTATGCATTATTTTACTTTTTGATCCCCCCTTGGAAAGCATGTGGAATCTATGAGACATTTTCATGCATCATTTCTTGTAGAAGAACATCAAGTCACCTTTTTGCCCTCAGGCAAACTTCTCCTATCTGATCTCAGTACCTGTCCATATCAAAAACATTTTCCATACCTTGTGTAAGCAGCTGGAGGTTTCGGACTTCTTCCCTCACCTTCAGCTGAAGGACTTGCTGCAGAATGTGCTGTCTCAGGCTTTCCTGGGCAATGCCCATTCGTTCAAGCTTTTTGTCAGTAAGTCTCAGCAAAGCACGGCCTGTAAGAAAAAGCCAAGAAGAAAAATCACCCAAGAATTTCCATTAGTGCAATAGGCTCATTCTGACACGATAATTCACTACAGAAAAAATTCTCAGCCCTGAAATACCTTATTCTGAGCAGACATTGTTCCATCTGTTAGGTACTCCCTTACTGTTAGAGACCTATGTGCTACTCCTCCCTTTTCTATTGTTTTTCTCTATTGTTTAGGTGCTTTGTGAGATACAGGCATGTAAAAGAGGAATCTTGTGCCATTTTAGACAGCCAGTTGCTGTTCTTAAGGGCCAGTTGTTCTCCCATGGGAAGGACAACCCCTGTAAGTCTACAACTGACATAGGTCCCTAAATAGACTCTCACCTATTTTCAAACATCATGTCAAGAAATGCGTGAAAACCAATGACTGTGGGTTTTACAAATTAAATCAATTTAAGATATATCAGTGATGAATATTGTTGCAATTCAGATATGTCTATAGTTTAGCAGCACCATTTCCCAGGATGGTTCTGTACTTCATGGTTCAGCCTTCCAAATCCCTCTTAACAATAAACTATCACAGCAAAATTGGAAAAAAAACCCCAGAGATTTCTATCAGTTATATCTAAAACATTCCCAAAAAATATTTTGTCCAACTATAAAAACCATCTGCCTATGGTCTTTGCAGGCATTCACTCCCAGTTTGTGACTTATCTTTAGTATTAGGTAATGTTGAAACACAGCCCCGGGCAGATTGTAGATGTTAAAAAAATCAAACAATCTACAATTTTGCTAGTGGAACTCTGACTCCATCTTTTGGGCATGGCTGTGCTATAAATAAACAGGAGCAAGGCTGTACCCTGGCTGAGCCAACAATAAGGAATTATTTGAACCAAGCAAAGAACTAAAGCATCAAGCAGAATTTTACCCTAGGAAGAAAATGAAAACTTACTCTCTTTGGCCTTGCCCACTGCTGTGAGGTAGTACAGGAGGAGTGTTGTGCAGCCCCCTACTGACTCTTGATTGCCACTATGCACATTTGCTATCTAAAGGTGCCCTGGCCAATGAACACAAATCAAACTGGAGCTACATGGATACTACCTTGAAAATGACATGTTTGTTTCAAACAGGTTCAACTTTTTACCTCCTCTGTTTTTTAATTATGAAAAATCCCTTTGACTTCTCAGGCCTTATTCTGAAACCAGGAGAAGATAGCAAAGAACAAGTTATTCCCTCTGCAAGACAGCAGCCTCTGCGCTACCATTACTGTGGCTTTGGATGAATGCTACAATTCAGCTCATTAGAAAGTGTTACTCAACACAGCAAGATAAGGCCCTTATTCAAAATCTTTCATTGCAAACTAGCAAGGAGTAGAGAATTTTTATAATTATTTTAATTTAAAAATTTAAGATAAATGCAAAAAACTTAAAGGGGCACAGAATATCTGCCCCAAACCAAGGAGTTAGCAGCATGCCTTTCACAAACTGCTATATTTCACTCACAAGCAGTTCCACAGGATCTTGATATGACACAATGTAAAATACTAGGATATTACTATTAATAAAGCAAGATGCTATTGATCAGATAAAAATGACAGCATTCACAGATTTTCAGCCCTTCTGCATGTCTCAAACACTACACACTACAATGGATGACCTTTTGACTAGGAAACCTTTCTTTGAAATCACAGACAAGAAGAATTCTAAGGGTTAATGTAATAACAAACTATTGAATTTAAGTCTCTTGCAGATCAATGCCAGCTGTCCAATTCTCCTGGTGATAAAGGCAGCAATAATGACTTCAATTTTTATATTGTCTTATCACACTAAAATATCTTAAGGCAATTTATAAAGGATGTACAACAGTTCAAGAGTATGGTCTGTAATGTCAAATTAGCAACTGAAAGCAAATAAAAATACAAGACACCAGTTTAAAGAGTGCCAACACATGTCATCTTAGGGCAGTGAGTCAGCAACAGTAATATGAAAGGACAGAGAGAGACCATGCATCTCAGCCAGTGCCCTCCACCTCTTCTTGGCCATAGATAGTCATTACTCTTTCCTTCCTCTGGGCAACTCTTTAGTTCATATTCAAATCGTTTTTCTACCCTAGCCACTGCCTTTGGAAGTTGAGTGTGCACAAAACAGAGATGTCTCTTTTCAACTCTTGGCATGTCAGTTCTTCTGCTGCTTAGGCTCAAAGCACGATGCTATTGACTCATACTCTCTATAGCAGCTTGCACAAATTGACTTAAATTAACTCTTTCATGCACCAAATCCAAAGTGACATGTTCAGGCAGTGATGAGGTGAGAAAGCAAACATCCAAATGTGGCATTTCAAGAATGCACTAAGGGACCTGATGGTGAAAATTCAATCCTCCTCATACCTTCTCCCCCCTCAACACTTAGAACAACAACATCCAAGCCACAAGTGGAATAATTTTCATTCTGACACTAAACCATGCCTTTGAAAAGATATTTTTAGTGCCTGGACCAGTCACTAAAGCCAATTAGTCACTAAGGCCAAGATCCTGACCATCAGCTAATGATTCTGGATGCTTCCCTGTCTTACTTTGTGTATTATGCATATCTGAAAGAGTAATCATTTTGTGCTAAGAACTCTGTTATTGAATATTGAAACCAACTGTCCAGAGAATTTGTGGAGTCTCTGTCTTTGGAAGCACTCAAAACCTGTTTGACAGGGTCCTGAGCTGCACTTGTCCCTGCTTTGAGTAATGATTGCCAGTGATGCCTTACAACATCATCTGTTCTGTGAAATAACCTGTATAAAAGACTTGATCTAAATACCTATTTTCTTTTAAAAAGCTGAGATTAACAAAAGAAATTATTAAGAGTACACAAAAGATGGCCATTTTATCAAGCAACATGGTTAAACAGAGAGACAGCTATACAGTAAAAATTGGGGGTAGATTTTTAATTTTCAGAGAGTGCAGATATATTATCAAAAGCAGAACATTTCTAAGAGTATACACTGATCTATTCTACACATTTTCTAAGAGTATACACTGATCTTTGCTCAGAGACAAGTAGAATGAACTTAAGTACCATTGCAGGAAAATTTCCCTACACTGCAGAACAGACACTGCCTCTTAGATGTAGTAGCTACCTGCCCAGCAGGTACATTTTTTTCAAACAGGACATTTTTTTGAAAGCACCTAAACTAAGAGAACCATAAAAGTCCCAGTGACAAACACCAAGGCCTTGGTTCAGGCTAGCTGCAAGGCTGGAAACCAAATGTTTTAAACAAAACTCCACAGCTCCCTCAGTAAATGCACACATCTTTTAACACCTAAACCCCAGCCCTCTCATACTCAGGGCAGATCAGCAGTGGAATGTTCTCAGCTACCCTGAGGGCAAACACAAAATATAAAACACTTTCCAGCTTAATAATAGATTGATGGCCTAATTTTTTCTAATATGACTTAGCTGCTACAGATCTCATTGAATCAAGCTGGGAGTAGATGAAAATCTGAATGGAGGGAGAAACATTGCATGCCACAGAACATTAGCATGAGTATAAGCACTGGTCCAATGGGGCTGGCATCGGCCCTTGAGCAAGGAAGGCAGCACACACTGCTGTGCTTAATGAGAAATGTTCAGCACTGCTATATCCTACTGCTCTTCCCCCAGTGTACAGACACACAGAGGGACACCTCACATGAAGCCTTGAAAGAATACTTGCAATGCAGGCAAAGGGCCAGGTAAGAAAGAGCTTATTTAACATGTGGAAAGAACTGAACAAATGCAGGGAAACAAGAGCAGATAGCAGTGAGAGGCTGATCTGACACAAAACCCTGACAAAAACTATGAGTAATTTAAAGCTGATGAAAATGATAAACCACAAGTGGGAACAAATGATGGCGAGAAATATGGCCAAGACAGGTGACCTTGTCTTCCAAGTACAGTATGAAAGGTATACCTGATTGTCTAGACAAGATGTTCAGTTTATTTACTTGTAACACCTGAAAAAACAGGAAAATGAGATTTACTAAGCTACTAAATTATGTAAGATGAAAAATTTTTCAAGTTTATACTTAAATGCTGCAAATGCCATTTTATTCTTAGTTAACAGATAATAGTGTGTTTCTCTAGTTTTTCAAATGTGGTGCTTTTGTGTGTACTTGAAATAGTCTCATCACAGCTTTCCTCTTGCTTAAACAGGGTGATTGTTGGCTGCTCTTGACTGCCTTGGACATATCAAGTAAGAAATTTCCATGACAGAGACACAGGAATAAACATCATTGTTCAGGTGCTGGTGAGACACAAGTATAAAACTCTCATCATATACTCAGGAAAGAATGCAAACAAGAATGGGCAGAGAAAGAGGCTATGATTTCATAGTGAGGAATGGCAAAATTATGAGAGGAGGCAAGAAAAAGAACAGTCATCTACAGAATGAGACTAGCCTCATGATGGCAGTGGGGGGAGATGAACACTGGGAAAAGAGAAGAACTATTAGACTGAATATATATACTATATATATAATACATATAATTCCTGACTATATTAGGGAACTGATTTGAAAAGAGAACAAATGGGTGTGATTACAATTGAAGATGCTGAGTTCAGAAATATCTTTTAAAAGAAACAGCACAAACCAGAAATCAATCAAATTTTCAGAGCAAACTTGGTATAACTTCATGATATTTTCTGGATAACCTATCAGATCTTCGACAGTCCTACATTTTCTGCTTTTCCCATGAGAATTTAAGACCCTGTCTCTCCTTCTCAGCCTGTCTCATAACTAGTCAACCAGACACATCAGCCACTTTGTCATCAATGCCTTGTGGCAAATCTACAGCTCTTCCTTCAAAGGCAGCCAGATCTGATTTGTCTTACTAATCATTTTAGCCCTAAGACTAATGCAGACTCTTGGTAAACTGCAACTTGCATTACCATCCTCTTTGTCCCCCTTCAGATATCTAATATGTCACTAATCAAGAAAGACTTACTTGCTTTAAAAGTAAAAATGGATTCAATTTTCATCAGACTTACCATAGCAGCAAAC